ATCATATCTACGAATATTTTTTTAAAATGTGGTTCAGATGTGAAAGTAATAACCAGTTATACATATTAAACAGTTTACAGTCTAAAGGAAACAAAACCTATGTAATATCCAAGAAGTACTAATAGGTTTTCTGAAATGTTATGTTTTCTATGCATTTTTTAAAAAATGTAAACTTGATACTTTAGGGTCTTCAGTTATACATACACCTGTTATAAGGTGTTTAATATAGCTCAGGAAAGTGAGCATTTTGTGAGAAAAATGGATATATCATTTCTAATGAAAAAGATTGTTACAAAGCTGTTTAAAGAAAAAGATACATATAAGTAATTGAAACACTTAGAAAACTGATAAATGTCACACAGTGGTATTATAGAAGGATAATACAGAGCCAAGACAAATTAAAAGACAATAAATGGACAGAAAGGAGGCTGTGTTTAGCTTTGTATAAACTTTTAGGTTTGCTCTGTAATCTGCTAAACCGTATACATTCTCTTGTGGTATGTTACTATGTATGTGGCACTTGAGGCACTGTATGTAAAGTAAGGAATGCTTTACTAGTTCTCCTTGGTTTTCTTATCTTTGTTTAAACTAGCTTTGAAGTATTAAACAATAATTGAAATGAAAAGCTTACCTATTTTAAAAAGCCAAATTTAAATAAATATAGAACTTTAAAATGTTAATCAGTTGTCTCCAAGAAAGAATATTAGTTTCCAGTAAAGTTTAGTGATGGCTCACTCATTTTTCCATTTTGGAAGTATATAGTTATGTTAAGTAGAATTTTTATAAACCACAAAAGAAGCACCATTGTACAGTCTAGCATAAACAGTAAATATAAAAGAGGATATATTTAAATTCATAATCATTTTTTCAGTAAATATTGCTCAGTGACCTTGAAAATTTTAATAAAAAATGTCTGCAGTTTTGTGATTGTTAATTTGGTTAAACTGATATTTAAGTTAGGTAACATTTTATATTACTTTCATATGAATAAAGGTAATCCATGCATTGTAGAGTCTTAACGTTGAGTTTTTTAGATGATATAAACTTTGATTCTGGGCACTAGTGTTAGTAGATATTACTGCCCTCCTGAGGGAAATCAGAAGTGATTTACCCCCAATGGAATACATTAATTCTTAGTGGCTCTCTTCAGTAGTGTGACTTTTAGAAAGTATCTCAGTAGTTAAGGAAGCTAAGTCTTAGATCTATTTTTAAAATGGATGGCCTTCTTAAGAATAAAGCAAAAGGTGATTTTCTACATAATTTCTGCTTCCCAAAAGTGATAGGCTCTCCTGTAGCAACAGGAGATGTGAGAAGATAAAAGGCTTATCTAGACTCAAAATTTAAAAGCAATTACAGTAATATTTCCCCTTTCTAAATAGTAAAAAGCTGATTGTACAAGAATTATCTGTGCTAGTGAAGTTTTTCTTCTTTGAACAACTTTGGAAAATGGATTTGACAGTACATTATCAGTTCTAACCAAAGCTTGTATTTGGAAATTTACTTTTTGTACAAATTGAATTATATAATGCTTAAAATACTTTAAGTCACTTTATAAGCAAAATGCATAGTACTTAATTTGTTTATACAGTAAAGTATATGTTAAATGCTTTTAGCAATTTCAGAATAAAAAGTTACTAATGCTGTTGTATTTTATACTTTTAAAAAACTACCCAAACATACTTATTTGACTTTAAACTTAAAAATGTATGTTTTTGTTTCACATCCATATTTGATGGGTATTAATAATATTAATGTTTATGACAGTCTCACTTTTTTGAAAATAAAAGGTTAGGCTCATGGAACCTATTCTTGAAATAAACTCTGATGCCTAAAGAAATGGGAAATTTAAAATCTATGAAATAGAATTTTTTAAATTTTTATACAGAAAATGGTTAAATTACAAATAAGAAATAGTTGCTTCTGCATTCAGAAAGAGAACTTATAAAATACATTATTTAGACATAGAATTATCAGTCTTTAAAGTCCTTGAACCCAGCTAGTCTTTTTAGAGATAAATATTTTTATATAAATCGGAATAGTTTTTCAACTATTGAAATTATTTTCATTGTCTTACTGGCTTTCAATTTATCTTGGTAATTTGGGCTGTTTTTTTTTTTTTTTTTTTTTTTTTTTTTTTGAGACGGAGTTTCGCTCTTGTTACCCAGGCTGGAGTGCAATGGCGCAATCTCGGCTCACCGCAACCTCTGCCCCCTGGGTTCAGGCAATTCTCCTGCCTCAGCCTCCTGAGTAGCTGGGATTACAGGCACGCACCACCGTGCCCAGCTAATTTTTTGTAATTTTTTTTTTTTAGTAGAGACGGGGTTTCACCATGTTGACCAGGATGGTCTCGATCTGTTGACCTCGTGATCCACCCGCCTCGGCCTCCCAAAGTGCTGGGATTACAGGCTTGAGCCACCGCGCCCGGCCCAATTTGGGCTGTTTTAACCATACCAGAAAAAAAAGATATGCTTGAAGATTAAGTCAATTTACTACATAAGAACTTTTTTATATTTATGGAAAAGTTTAGGCTGGAAGGAAGGAGTTTGTGTGAAGAAGGTTCAAGCTTCCACTAGGCCCTTAAAAAAATGTTTTTTTACACTATGTTCTTTGACATGCTATAGTTAATATCCATCCCACACATAGATGGGAATGGTATTTGCACAAACTCCAACCCTGGTGTGTCTGTGGGGCTGGTTTTAATCTTACCAAGCAGTCAGGAAAATTCCAGCTTCTTGCTTGACACCCAGCTCTATTCTAAAGAGGGCAAGCCTTTTACTCTAAAAGTAAAGAGTTTATCCTTAGAATAATCAGTCCAATAAAAGGATAAATAATCCTAACCTGTTTTAAGTAGGAGAGAAAATTCTGAAAGGAAGGTTTGAAGAGCAGGAAACTACTTGGACAGTAAAGGGTAGATGCTGGAAACACTTTGGCCAGCCTGTTTTGATTTTGTGAACAGGGAAAAAGCATGTGTGTAGTTTTGGAACATCGTTCTTTGTATAGCCTGCCAACAATGTATTCAAAAAATAAACTCATAGGAAATATGCTCCCAGGTAATTAATTAAGTGCCACCACAGCAGACCATAAAACTGGATAAGACTTCCTGAGATTTTGATTTTTCTCTCTGATTTTTAAGGAGCTGCCAATATTGAGGGTTCCGAACAAGAGTTTAGTAGTTTTATTCACCATCTGATGTCCTCTACCTGCAACAATATACTAGGTGACACTTTGTAGGTATACTTATCTAATATTGAGCCACATTAATGAGAGGATATATTCACTCTAAAGCCGTAGTCAGACTAAAAATGTATACATTTTATACATCTACAACTTTATTTTGAGATGAAGCTTGCTCTGTTGCCTAGGCTGGAGTGCAGTGGTGTGATCTTGGCTCACTGCAACTCCCACCTGCCAGGTTCAAGCGATTCTCCTGCCTCAGCCACCTAAGTAGCTGGGACAGGCACCCACCACCACACCCAGCTAATTTTTGTATTTTTAGTGGGGCTCGAACTCCTGACCTCGGTTGATCTGCCCACCTCAGCCTTCCAAAGTGCTAGGATTACAGGTGTGAGCCACCACACCCAGCCTACATCTAGAACTTAATAGCAAAATAGAAACGATTTAAGTTGTGCTTAAGTTATAATTAAAGGGCAGCATAACTTAATTAGCAGATTTCTGCATGGCTATGTTTTGGTTTCCTAACTACCATTTTGAAAGCATGTTCTTGAATCATCTTTACTTGAAATCTCTACATCTTGTAAGTAGAGTTGATGGGTTCAATTCTTAAGAAATACTTCTGTAGGCCAGGTGCGGTGGCTCACACCTGTAATCCTAGTACTTTGGAAGGCCGAAGCAGTTGGATCACCTGAGGTCAGGAGTTCGAGACCAGCTTGGCCAACATGGTGAAACCCCTTCTCTACTAAAAATACAAAAATTAGCTGGGTGTGATGGTGGGTGCCAACATGGTGAAAACCAGTCTCTACTAAAAATACAAAAATAGCCGGGTAGCTTTGTGGTTCATGCCTGTAATCCCAGCTACTTAGGAGGCTGAGGCAGGAGAACTGCTTGAGCCTGTGAGGCGGAGGTTGCAGTGAGCGAGATTGTGCCATTGCACTCTAGCCTGGGCATCATGAGTGATACTCCCATCTCGACAAAACACTTTTGTAAATGTTAATGCTGTCTGTGCTGTAGTAACATGAATCTATGGTACTTTCTGTCTTCATTAAGATTCTTAGGAACAGTAAAAATCTTGAATGCTTTTTTTTTCCTGCCTCAGCCTCATGTGTAGCTGGGATTACAGGCAAGCGCCACCACATCTAGCTAATTTTTTTTTGTATTTTTAGGAGAAATGGGGTTTCACCATATTGGCCAGGCTGGTCTTGAACTGCTGACCTTCAGTGATCTCCCCATCTCAGCCTCCTAAAGTGCTGGGATTACAGGTGTGAGCCACTGTGCCTGGCCAAAAGTCTTGAATGCTGTTTTAATGTAACTATTAGAATCTTGTTTAAAAGTTCCAGGTACAGTTGTCCTCACTTGTTTTTCCTATGTAACCAAGTTCTTTGATTTGCACTGGACAAAAACTTGGTACAAGAATCCTTGTCTCTTCAAGGCAGTTCTGGAAATCCAAAATCCCATACTGTTGTTTTTCCAGAGCAATTTTCCTTAGAATTTGGTAGAGGTTGGTGTTGCCCGAGTTTAGCCACTAGATGGTGATAATGCACAGAGCCAGTTTTTTTGTGACAATGTGAAGACAATTAGGTTAATGAGGCAGCATTCATTTGGAATGGTTAGGCACTATTATCAGGAGTAGACAGGCTAAATGAGAGTCATGAAAGAAAGTTCTCTCTGTATTTGAGGAAGACTCAGTGCAGTAGGGAGAATGGTATGGTGGAGAGCTTCTCAAGCTGTCTGGTGACTAGGTAATTTTCAGACTGTTGTGGGACTACAGTTTAAAAAAAAAAAAAGGTAAAAATGAAAATTCCTAAGACCAAAGTCACATAAAATACAAGCTCCAATTTTTTAAATTAGATTCAACAGAAACAAAAACACTCCAACAAATTGCTTTAAAATTTCTCAAAGCTTCCTGTCAGTATCTGTACTTTTACTCACAGACCAGTAACATCTGGTTGGCAGGGACTGGTCTGAGGACCACACTTTGAGTGGTGCCAAAAAGCCTGTATAGTGCATTCAATTCAGGCAGCAGAACTTGGGTTCAAGACCTGACTTCATTACTACTAGCAGGGTAGCCAGAGAAAGCTCACTTAACTTTTCTAAGGTCCGATTACTCATTTGGATCAGGTTAATTATATCTATGATTAAGCTTTTTATGAGCGCTCAGTAATAATGTACTAACCTCTCAGGAACCACTTGAATGTTAGTTGAAACTGAATCACATAATTGGTACATTTACATATTAAACATGAATTGTTTTCTCCAATATCCACTCCATCTTCTTACTGACTGGTGTTTTCTCCATGAATAGAAACATGTTCAGTTGATCATCAAATACTTAAAGGACCTTGAAAGCTTGTCTGGCTCTAATTAAAGCACAGCTACTTGGTGACCTTAGCAGGAACCTATCCTCTCTGGGGGAAGTGCAACCTCTTCCATTGCACTGACAGCTTTGTGGGAAGAGGGAGAACTAGAGGAAGCAGTGAAGAAGTCAGAAGATACCTGTTTACTCAAACGTGTCTGTAGCTATACACCTCCATACCCCAGACCTTGGAAGAACCGCTGAAACACTAGGCTATCAGCTTTTGAAGTCTAGGTGATTACAAAACCCAGGAAAGACTGGCACATAAACTAGATTAGGCAAGATCAAGGATGACAATTTGTTCTTTGATTAATCATTATCCCTGCCATTCACTGTGACCTGCCAAACATATACTACTTCCATCTTTACGGCGGTCCTGACAGATGAATCATTTTAGAGATAAATAAAGTAGGGTATAGAAATGTTAGGTTGCTTAAATAACAGAAGCCAGTTACTAGCTAGTTCCAAAATGCCAGCCAGAAATGTGTATTAACATTGGATTTGCCACATCTAGAAGCACAACCACTCCAGTTATGGTGTCCAAACCAATCTCTCAAGTTAGGTGAATGGAATGTAATCAGACTATACTAAACCTGGTTCCAAAAGCTATACAACTTGTAAAGTCAGTCTAAAGTACCAAAACGCACTTAAAAGTGTAACTGCCATACCAGAAAAAAAGAGGTCCCAACCATGAAAATGTCACTGAAGGTATTTTTTATTTTTGAAGGTATTTTTAAAATCTTGGCACACCATATCTATAACTGGGTCCAAAGATTCTACATAACTGATATGTTAACAAAGGCTCCATTTTAAAAAAGGGTTGGAAATTGAAATAAAGGTCACCTAACTTGATCACTTTGTTCAATATAGTACGAATTTCAGCTTCTAACAGAAAAGTCCTGAGATGTGCAGTGATTCTGCTGATGTGCATTTTATCTTTCTGCACTAAGAAAGAAAGGCTAAGAAATTGACAAAAATAAAATCACCCCATGAAAACCAGATGCTGGTGATGAGAGGAAAAAAGAGCAGTAGAATTAAGGTTTTATAAACTAGAGTGTGTTGTTGTTGTTTTGAGACAGAGTCTTGCTCTGTCACCCAGGCTGGAGTGCAGTGGTGTGATCTCGGCTCACTGCAACCTCCGCCTCCCCGGTTCAAGCGATTCTCCTGCGTCAGCCTTCTGAGTAGCTGGGACTAAAATTAGCCACCATGCATGGCTAATTTTTGTATTTTTAAGTAGACACGGGGGTTTCACCATATTGGCCAGGCTGGTCTTAAACTTCTGACCTTGTCATCTGCCCACCTTGGCTTCCCAAAGCGCTGGGATTACAGGTGTGAGCTACCATGCCTGGCCGACAGTGTTTTGTTTCTCTTAGGTAAAGGGATTTCTTCATATGTTATTCTAATAAAAGGGAATTTCATAGGTAAAAACCAATATTCAAAATTATAAAACAAATAAAACTGTCTGTGCACAATCACTGCATCAAAAATTTGCAAGAGACTCAACAAAAATTCTTTAGTTGACAAATGTGGTTTGAAGGGGTAATAAAATTTTTTTATGGCTAAAGCAAGAGTCTTGTTTCCTGTTGGCCCAAAAACAGATGTTTCATTTCCCAGATAAGTAGGTTCTCCACTGTAAAGAAATATTCTTGTATAGTTGGTTTCTATTTTCTTGAACTCTGCTCCAAATTCAGCCAACTTGTTATAGGTCCTTAACACAAATTTGGAACAGTCGTAGGAATCAAACCATGTCTCTGCGCCTTTTTCTGGGCTGGCTTTTACAGTCCATGTCTCATAATAAATTCCTGTTTCATTGTCCTGTTTCATCCACTTTGCCATTTTGTTGAACATGTTTCCTAGTTTAAACAACAAAACAAAATCACCTAGTGAACAAAGTTAATCATGTTAATATTTTTTTTTTAAAAAGGTCTCCCTCTGTTGCCCAGGCTAGAGTACAGTGGTACAATCATAGCCCACTGCATCCTTGACCTCTCGGTCTCAAGTGATCCTCTCACCTCAGCCTCCTGAGTATCTGGGACTACAGGCACTGGCCACTAAACCCAACTAATTTTTAATTTTTTTTTTTATTTGAGACCAGCCTGGGCAACTCAGGGTTTTGCTGTGTTGCCCAGGCTGGTCTCAAACTTCTGGCCTCAGGTGATCCTCCTGCTTCAGCCTTCCAAAGCACTGGGATTATAGGTGTGAGCTACCATGCTCAGCCTAATCATAATAATTTAAACTAAAATGTTCTAACTTAATTAAGACTATGGATGCATGTGAGAAACGATGGTTTTGAATTTCTAAACTTGCATTTCATAACAGGAATCCAAGCTCAGCCAATTTTTATCCCATTTTTCAAGGCACAAGATATTTCTAAGTTATAAACATTAGGTATGATAGGTGTATAAAGAGAAGTTGTCTTACATACTAATTTTACAATCATTTAAGCTATAATCAAAGCAACATTATACAAATGCAGAAGCTCTCTTTCTTTACCCAACTCACCAAATCTTGGATTCAGAGGGAAATGAGAAAAGGAAAGCAAAAAAAAAAAAAGAATTTTGTGAAAGAGGAAAAATTGAATGGGCAAAGACAGTGTAAGAAAAATGGAGGTGTGGGAAAGGTGAGCTTTTCTGTTGCAAAGCATGTTACGCACAAAGTATGAATGGCTGCCTAAGGAGCTGCTGCTCTAGAAGGCTGGCTATTACTGACTGTTAGGAGAACAAGCACCATATCCCATCTACCTTGCATGTTTGGTACTTCTCTTTTTTCCCTGTAGTTGGAGTTGCTGGGATGCTGCTGAATTCTCCCCATCACAGAAATTCTTCCAACAAATCAACTAAACGAAAAATATTTTAGGCTGAGTTCATGGACTATGCAGACCCTCTCTGAATAGGATGGCTAACCCTCTCTCCTACCATCTTGTAGCAGACCAGAATAATCTCTCCAGATATTTAGAAAACACTACTCTGCATAGTTACAACTCTTATCTTGGGCATTTATAATGCCTAATAGAGCCAGGCCCCAAACATTGCATTCTGTCACTGTATAAAAACCTTTCTTTGGTTACTCCAGTTTGAGTCCATAAAATAAATACATCAGGTTCTGTAAAATGAATCGAGTAGCTGCCTTTATCAATTTTATGGAACTAAAATTGTGGAACAGAATAAAGCCTGTTGTATTAGAACTGGGGATACTGTTCTTAGCATTCTTCAACTTTCAAAAGCCACCACTATACTTAAGAGACAAGGTGCTTCAAAACACTATTTTGTAACATGAAGAGAGGTCAATCACAGGATTATTCACAAGGCAAATAGATGATCTGAAAGATTTAAGTACTGATATATGGAAATATTTTACAAAAAATAGTGATCACTTGTTCATATGATCACTGACTTTATGTCTAGAAGAAAGGATTTTCAGACAATGATGTAGGTGTAAGTGGGGAAAGGTGTGAACAGGCCTGGAATGAAAGAGCAGCTAATGCTTTTACTGAGCTGTGTTAAAAGAGGGATAGACTTTTGTTTGAGATGGTTTAAGGCACATCAATTAGAAAGTAGAAGAACTGATTAGAAAACAACATGGTGGATTCATCTAAAATATCCCTAAGTTACATTTAAAAGACCTCAGTTTTATTCCTGATTCTGCTACATCCAGCTCTTTGACCTTGAGAGGCAGGTAAGTCATGTTACCTAGCTGGGCTTCAGTTCCTTATTTGTAGAGGATGAGTATCTTATCCTGTCCCTTGAACTGTGAGTTAACACACCTCCAAATCATTGGTAAAGAGCTATACAAATAGGAAGCATGATTGCTTCCACAACTCCTGGGGTTCACTGAATCATTTTCACAACAGTGCTTTCACTTCAGATGTTTCTACTTTTTTGGGGAACAGCATTTTATAATGTAATGCTCCATCTCTACTAAAAATACAAAAATTAGCCGGGCATGGTGGTGGGTGCCTGTAATCCCAGCTACTTGTGAGGCTGAGGCTGGAGAATCGCTTGAATCCAGGAGGCAGAGGTTGCAGCATGCTGAGATTGTGCTATTGCACTCCTGCCTGAGGGACAAATGGAAGTCCATCTCAAAAATAAAAAAATGCGGGGGAAGGGGAAGGCGGCTAAGGACACAAATAGACAATTCTCAAAAGATATACAAATGGCCAACAAACATGAAAAAATACTCAACATCACTAATGATCAGGGAAATGCAAATCAAAACCACAATGTGATACCACCTCACTCCTGCAAGTATGGTCATAATAAAAAAATTTTTAAAAAAGAAAATAGATGTTGCCAGGATATGGTGGAAAGGGGAGTTCTACACTGCTGGTGGGAACGTACATTAGTACAACCACTATGGAAAACAGTGTGGAGATTCCTTAAAGAACTAAAAGTAGAACTACCATTTGATCCAACAATCCCACTGCTGGGTATCTACCCAGAGGAAAAGAAGTCATATATGAAAAAGATACTTGCCCATGCATGTTCATAGCAGCACAATTTGCAATTGCAAAAATACCAGCTTATCAATCAATGAGTGGATAAAGAGAATGTGGTGTCTATATAGTGAATAATGAAAATGTGTGTACACACACACACACAGACACACATCATGGAATACTAAGCCATAAAAAGGAATGAAATAATGGCATTTGCACCAACTTGGAATAATGGTTTCCAAGTACATCCAAGTGAAGTAACTCTTCAGGAATGGGAAATCAAACACTGTATGTGCTCATAAGTGGGAACTAAACTATGAGGATGCAAAGGCATAAGAATGATGAACTTTGGGAATTCAGAAGAAAGGGTGGGAGAGAGGTGACGGGTACACCAAAATCTCAGAGATCACCACTAAAGAACTCAGGTAACCAAATGTAACCAGGTTTTTTGGGGTGCAGGGGAGGCACAGGTCCCCTGAGAGAATGTTGTAGGTTTTTGGTCTCTGCTATCTCAAGAATGAGAGAGCAGACCACTGCAGGTGCATGGTAAACTCATAAAGTAAATACTGGACCCAAGAAGTGTTGCAGAAAGGTGATTTTATTTAGGTAGAGAAAAGAGAAGAGGAGGAGGAGAAGAGAGAAAACGTCCGTGAAGAGTGTGGAAGGGGACTCCAGAGGGGAAATCCGGCCCGGTGTGGGGACAAGGACTTTTAACATGGGAGGAATTCCCTCCTCCTTATGCATCCCCCACCACCACTCCCCCACCAATGAAAAGAGTTCCTTCAAACTTCCGCTGGGGTGACTGACTTTTAGTTTCTTCCCTTGCCCACAAAATTTAAACATAAACCATTAAATCTCCCGGATGGAGAGAGATGGGAGGGGGGGCATGATGCTAGGAAGTTCTTGTCCTTAAAACTATGCCCCCTTGTGAACCCAGAAAAGAACACCTTCCCTCACAAACATCATCTGTTCTCTACAAACCTATTGAAATAAAATACAAAATAAATGAAAAAAAAAATTCCCAAAGTTCAGTGGTTCCAGGAGTGCAATTTTCAAACGACCTCTAAGTAAAACATTACTGAAATGTTTCAATGGAAGTATTATAATTTCTTTCATTTGGATTTTGATGCAATTTATCAAATATTGCCATATTTCAAAACTTACCTGATATAGTCGCTACTTGAACTAATGTCCCATTTTCCTTCCAGTGAGCATCATCAATTCCCTCAAAAAAGCAGGCAGCGCCTTGATTACACCAGAAAGGGGCATCCATTTCAGGTCGGAGATGGGGAAATGTACAGTTGCCAAGTTGGAAAAGTTCATACCATTCCACTGTGTAGTTCTTGCCAGTTAATGTACTCCTGAATCCAATGGCATCATGCATAATTTTCTGTGTAAAGGCAATACATGTATAAGAGCAACTGTGACATAAGCATGGGTCTAGGTAACCTGATAGGAGAAAATGTGGCACATCACAAATGCATATCAAGTAGAACAACTGTTCAGCTGTCTTCCATGCTGCTACTGGCATATCCACTCTGTGGCCCCAAACTCCAGGCCACTGCAGCTCATCTCAAAGAGGAGGCATGCGTGTTATGTGGACAAGCTCATAATTTCCTTAGAGCTTAAAGTGTGAGGAGCCCCCATGCCAGTCTCAGGAAGGAACTCTACAGACTTCACATGGTGATGGGTTAATCTGGAAAAGTAACTAAAACAGGGTCTGGAAATTGAGAGGTGTTTCCTGTCTGCCTTGCCCCTTCTGGGCCTCTTCTCATCTTCCAGGAGCTGGGTACCGGAGCTGGGTTCAGATTCATAACATTACAAGAGATAATGGTGATTACATTTGTTACTGTCAGGATTACAAAATCTGATAGTAAGTATTTTTGATTACTCATTTTAAATGTGCTAACAGAAGCACCAATAAACATGATCTGAAGTCAGCCATCTAAATAAAGATTACTCCCTAAAAATCAACTTAATAACCAAATCACTAAATTAACCAAAGTTATAAGACCAAGATGCATCCTTACCAAGTGTCCCAGGAGGTCTCCATATTTAAATTCCCATACTGGGGCTTGTAATCGAAAGACTTCAATATCATCATCATCCTTCATAACTGGGATAGGTGAGCCAGTTGGACAGAAAGTATACTTAGCTTGACAATAAGGATCAGGTTTTGGTCGGAAGTCAAAGCGTCTAATAAAGAAAAATAAACCATCTACTTAGATTCTAACAGGAATTGGTTCTCCTCACACCTTTTAGAATCCAGTAACAGTTTTTGGGCACCATTCAATGGTCAGACCATAGTTAATAAATATAAACATACATTTTGTTATCTTTTGAACTTCCAATAATGTTTTTTAATAACAAATGATAAAAGGACTCTGATAATACATGCTTTCCTGTTCCCTGATCCCACTGTGAAAATTTTGAAGACAGAAATCTTGTCTTAAAAATTTTATAGCTCCAAATCATAGTAGACATTTGCAAATGTTTACAGAATGAACATTTTTCCAATGTGCTCAATTTTACAAACAATCCATAAATTAAGATTATTCAGATAATTATGAGTAATAGATTTTATATTTACTTATAAATTAACATTCATTCAACCAATCTTTGCTGAGGCTCTACTAGATATATAGGGAACTATAGTAAGAAGGAGGGAAACAAATTAAAATACTGTTCCCTTTCTCATGGAAACTTGGGTGGGAGCTGGAAAGACATTAAACAAGTAATGAGTGTAGTATGTGCTAGACTAAAGAAATGAGTCCTATGGGCTCAAAGGAATGACAAATCATTGTGAGATGTATTGGGTGGGGAAGGCAAAGAAAGAGATGAAGGCCCGGCATAGGTTTTTAATGTACTTGGGCAGAGGGTTAAGGCAGAAGGCAGAGGAAACATTAGGTATTATAAGACAAGCCTGGCACATTTGGTCTCCAGTAGGTATGGAAGACTAGAATTCAGGCTTTGAGGCAGGAGTAGAGGCAGAAGAGATTGGCAGGGGCTGTCATTTTGTCACTAGGAGAGTGTGCATCGAATTCCCTGGAGCCTTAACTGAAGACAGCTGAGCTCAAAGGATGTTAAGTAGCAGATCTGATAAGATTGAATTTGCTATAAAGTAAACCTTATTTCATGAATTAAAAGAGGGTAGGGAGAGAGGCCAAATTAAACATGAGAGATCAGTTAGAAGGTGACCTCAACAGTGCAGGCAAGAAAAGAAGACAGGGGAAGGCCACAGCAATAGGGCTCGAGGGGCCACTGCAGTTGAATTCAGCTCAACAGACACCCTGGTCACCTATAATCTGGCACTGGGAGAGAAAGAAGTGGCAGGGTGGTGGCAACAGCTTCCATCTAAGAATCCCCACGGTTCTGGCCCAATCTACTGTTTTACTATCCTAACAAATAACCAAAAATTTCTATTTTAACTTAAGAAGTTAAAATCTTTATGCTAACCAAAGCTATTAACAACTCTCCCAAAAGTTTTTGCCACTTGGGTACAGTGTTTTAGAGGCACTTACCTAGTTTAAACAAATACATAATCACACAGAGATTTCACTTACCCACAGCAAAATCTATTTTAGTTCAAAGGTAACGTAAAATGTATGATTTAAGTGTGAACTTAATAAACTTAAATATTATATTCAATTGAGGGGATTAGATGGGGGCATGTACTTAATATCTGACACTCAAAAAAAAAAAACAACCACGAAAAAGCCATAGTCATCACCTTGCCCTAATGTTAAGTCAAATCGTTTGGCTTTACAACTCTTCCTACTGACCAATTTTTACTTCTTATGAACATTTTATTATGAACATTTTCAAGATAACTAGTTTCAACCACAAACTTCTCTTTCCACGTAGTATACCTATGGAGCAAAACAAAAAAGTGTTGCAAACCTTTCAGTGAGCAGAATACACTAATATCTAGGTTTGACAACAGCTGGCATTTACTAGATTTAATCCTCCCAGCAAACCTATGAGGTAAGTGCTACTACTATTCCTAATTTTTGACTCAGGCCATGCGGGCACAGAGATTCTGAGTAACCTTCCCAAGATCTCTGGTGATGATGGCTCCAGATTTGACCTGCAGCAGGCAGAACCTAAAACTCGCTGCTCACGAAGAGGAAATCCTGCCTTTCCACTCATTATTCTGCGTGCAAAATAGCTGTGTTTTCAGGTTTGTTGTGTGCAGTTTTAGCTATTGATTACTTTGGCTAGTAAGTTAAAATTATGTCCATTATAAATTGAATTAAAATAATGATGCCTCTGGTTTTTAAAAAATAGCTGTTTTCAAAAACTGCTGGTCTTTCTCCTGCCTGATATTGACTCCATGTTTTCTTTTTCTTTTTTTTTTTATTGAGACGGAGTTTTGCTCTTGTTACCCAGGCTGGAGTGCAATGGCATGATCTCGGCTCACCGCAACCTCCACCTCCTGGGTTCAGGCAATTCTCCTGCCTCAGCCTCCTGAGTAGCTGGGATTACAGACACGTGCCACCATGCCCAGCTAATTTTTTGTATTTTTAGTAGAGATGGAGTTTCACTATGTTGACCAGGATGGTCTTGATCTCTTGACCTCGTGATTTCCTTTTATATAATCCTTTATATAGTCATATATTACTTTATAGAATTAGGGCTTGACGAATCCCTCTATATAATCCTCTATATATAATCATATAATAGTTGATAGTATGAGTGCCTAAAGAATATTTCCCTACATATATACCTATATTATATCTTAGTTCATATCGGAGGAATGCCTAGAGTGGACACAGTACAGAGCATGAATTAAGGAATAAGTAGCTTATAATCAGGAATGCCTAAGAGCAGACACCATGCAGAGCATGATTTAAAGGAAAAACAGTTATGCCAGGACAAGAATCCATGGCCCAGGCGGCAGCGTTCAGTATCGTATGATACCCGCTGTATGGCAGGCTTGGGGCGAGAGCCACTCCTCCTGATAAAGGAGTTGTAGGACCTTGCTCCAGTTCTTGTGGAAGGCTGCCCTCAGATCGGCAATCCACCTTGGTGACTGTGAACTTTATCAGCTCTTGCTACTGCGCTGCTTGAAAAGCATCTTCCCATAGAACCCACTGGAAGCTGCCAGAAGGTGGCAGTAACCCTGACAGCTCCGTCACTGCTATGTGACTTAAAGCATCCTCCTATAAATCTTCCTAGAAGTAGTTTGTCCATAGATAGAAGTATTGCATACTGAGCACGGCCCACCTTCATACCTCGGTGACCTAATGATACCTCGGTGACCTAATGGGGGTGGACCCCTTACTGCACACGGCCCTTGCCTTCTTGGGAACGGGCCTGTTGCTGTGCACTGTCCACCTCCTGGCCTAGGTGACCTAATGGGGGTGGACCCCATGTTTTATTGCTCACGACCCTATCACTATCCTTAAAGATGATTTCACTCACTGCCCTGCCCCCTAACCTATACACAATAAACACTCACGATTCTGGACATTCCGGGCCTCGCCCGACTCTGCTTATAGGTGGCGTGGCCTCCCGAGCCCAGCTGCGTTTTTCTTGTACTTCTGTGTCCTGTCTCTTTATTTCTCGGATCCTGCGCCTCAGCACAGCGTAAGGCTCACCCCACGACCCTGTGGGGCACTCAGCCTTACATCTGGCTCCCAACGTGCCCTACAAATAAGGACTTCGATCAGGCTCTGATCAGGTTCAAATCAGAGCGAGTTGGTCGCCCAGTAAACTGTGCCAAATGTTCCGCAGTAATGATAACACAGTGGATGAAATAAACCAGATAGTCTTTTTTAAACCACTCAAGAAATGAGCTACTTGTACCTAGAAGTCCCTCCATTAAATAGCATTACTCTCCTCCTCCTCTTCCACGATTTGGGACGGTCCTGAGTCTGCCCCAAGTGGCCAGAAGGGAGGAAAGGTCCCAGGGCTGCGCGTAACAAGCGGCAGCGATTTCCCATTCCTCAATTTTGCTCTCACGTGCGCTCCGAGCTTCTCCCGGCGCTGGCCCCGCACGGTCACGTGATCCGACACAAACCAAGGTGCGCGGGGGTCCCTGCCCCAGCACCGCCACTTCCCCCATTGCCGACCCCGACCCGGACCTTGCACGCACCGCTGCACTCACTTGTAGGGCTCCGGCCAGTGGCGCCGGGAGGGGCTGCCCGAAGCCGGGAGCCAGCCCGGAGCCGCGGCGAGGAAGAGCAGCGCCAGGGCCCAGCGCCGGGAAGCGAGTCCCCGGGCCCCGCCCGCGCCCCCCCGCATCTCGACGCCCAGTGCGGTGTCTCCCTCCTGCGCCATCAGGCTGCCCCCAGTGCTTCCGGCGCCGCCCGCGCCCCGCGACGCCGGAGGGTGGAGCTTGCGCGGAGCCGCCAGCCCCGGACGCAGACCGCCATGCCCCGCGCTAGCCCCAGAGTTTGGTAACGAACCATGTTCCAGCGCGTGACTTCTCCCTGCGCCCTGCCCGCGGCGGCTTCCACACTTTGCAGTCCAGGAAGGCGCTTTGGTCTGGCTCCTCGGAGAATTCCATCCAGACCCGGGCCTCCTCTTTTATGAACTGACCTGTCCCCGCCCACCAACCACCACCAAAACCAAACCAAAACCAAAAATCTGTCTCCAGGGCTCCTCCCAACCCCGAACTTTTACCGCATTCCACAGGGCCCACGGTAGGTGTCAACAAACGTTGAGTGAATGAGAATGTTTATTTGGGGCTGGGGGTGCAGGGCTGGGGGCGCAGTGAGGAAGAAGGGACAGTAGTGGGGAAATGCCTCCTCCTGGCCGACCTGGTCCTGTGATGATAACAGTGGTTAACACTGACAGTATGTGGTCCCTGCCACTACGCGAGTGCATAGTGGGGAAATGACTGGTCCTCACTCGACCTGGGCCAGTGATAACAGTGGTGAAACCGACAATGTGTGGTCCCTGTCACTACCCGAGCGCCACGGAATCCACCCCTCCCCTACTGCTCCCCTCTCCAGTCCGTGTTTGTTCCATGCTTGGATCTGTCACTTCACTGGGAGGAAACATCTGCATCACTTTCTCTTCTTTGACTCTTCAACCACTTCAAGAAAACAATGGCATCCATTACCCGGCTTTGAGGAGCCTGTCTTGGTCTGTCTTGCTGTTAGGCACAAATACTGACTTAGGAGTACACTCAAGGCCTGTGAATAAGCCACTGCGCTTCAGTCTGGGCAACATAATGAGATGCCATGTAGTTATTATTATTATTATTATTATTTTTAACCAGAGAGCAGTTTTGCAGAGCCTTAGACAAGGACTGCTTTCCAATTCCTTACTTCACCCACAACACGTGTGAAGCATCTTAATGTTTGTAAGGCTAAGGGAATAAGCAAGGTGGCTTCAGTAGCCAGAGATCACCACCACAATCCATCGGAGGGTGTGTGGCTTGGGGGTTGTCACTGACTTCCTCAGGCCCTCCAGGTCTCCTGATTACAGATGGGACTTAGTACCCTGCCCCAAACACACACTGCTTTGCCCACTTGCTGCACCAGTTTGGGGAGGTTCTGCGGAGATTCAGACTGGCTGCATTTTACCATCCATTTGTCTAAGTGTTTTGATAACTACCATCCTAGCTCTCCTCCATATACTGTCGCCAAATTCAAATTATCAGGGCTTAGCTGGCTTCTCCAAAACCCTACCCAAGATGAGAGGGAAAAGCATTCTAGCCCTGAGAGCTGAAATGGAATGTCTGGTCTGAAGGGCACCTGCAGGATTCCCTGTACCACACTTGAGCCAGTCTTAAAAAGCAATTAGAAAGAACAGCTTAAAAAAAAAAAAGAGCATTAATTAGAGCATTTACAAATAGTGGAACCGTATACAGCAGAACTTCCCATTCAGTTCAGGACTTCCCAGAGCTACAAAAACAAATTCAGGTTGACCTTGGTCAGTGGTGAGGACCGCTGGTCTTGCTTCTGTCGTCTCTTCCCTCAGTGTGCCGAGAGCTCTCATGGTAAGAAAGTATTTCCTAGTATTGCTCGCTCTCTCTCTTTTTTTTTTTTTTAAGATGGAGTCTCCTGTTGTTCAAGCTGGAGTGCAGTGATGCGATCTCGGCTCACTGCAAACTCCGCCTCCCGGGTTCAAGCGGTTTTCTTGCCTTAGCCCACCTAGTAGCTGAGATTACAGGTGTGAGCCACTATGCCGAGCTAATTTTTTTTTTTTTTTTTTAGTAGAGACGGGTTTCACCATGTTGGCCAGGCTGGTTTTGAACTGACTTCAAGTGAGCCACCGCCTTGGCCTCCCAAAGTGCTGAGGTTGCAGGCATGAGCCACCATGCCTGGCCCTAGTATTGGTCTTAACTCAGCCTCTTGGAAGCTCCCATTCCTCTGCTCTGGTTTTGCCTTGGGTGGGAACACTGATTAAACCCTGTTCCTTTTGTCTGTGACCCCACATCCCAAGCTAAAGGTGCTCATAGGTTATCATTGCCCGATACTGGTAACTTCCCCCTTGTCCATGGCTTTTAAATCTTAAGGGCCCACAGGCAGAACTGAATTTCAATTTAATTGGTTTCCCTTGGGTCCTTGTCCAATCAGCCTAAGACTGCTTGGATCACATGGCATCTCCCCAAATAGCGTTATAGGATTCTGGGGAAGTCTGGAGTTGAGATGAAATTTAAATAAGCAGTATTTTGGTAGGCTTAAAGCAAAACAAGGCTGTGTGTCAGTGATGGCAGCGGCTGCTCCAGACAGCCTCCTGCTGCCATCAACACACAGGCTCTAGGTCTGGACTGCAAAGTGGACGAGGGTCCTATTTTCTTGGAGACTATGAAGTTAAAATAGCGATGGAATTTTGTGTCTGGAAACCCCTTATCAGAAGCTTGGCATCTGGATTGTAAATTGAGGCCAATTCTCTGTGTGAAATCACTGAGGTCCTTCAGGCAAAGGTGAGATATTTTATTGTTACTGATGTAATTTCAGATAGGAAGTTGTCTCCAAGTCTAATTTTAGAGAACAAAATTTCTCATGGAATAAGAAAGCAGGAAGCCAAGCAAGGTAGCATGCACCTGTAGTCCTAGCTACTCAGGAGGCTTGAACTAGGAGTCTGAGGCTATAGTGAGCTGTAATCATGACTGTGTATAGCCACTGCACATCAGGCTGGGCAACATAATGAGATGCTGTCTCGAAAAAAAATTTTTAAGTAAAAAAAAAGGAGTTTGTTATGACACTTTATGATTTACTGTGGTTTGAGAGAAATATTGTTTTCTGGTGATTTTGAGGCCGGTTTTGTCAGTCCAGGCTAATAAATAGCAGGGCAGATTAACGTCCAAGCTAATTTTTAGTTTCTTACTTACAGTCTCATTTTAATTTTAGGTGTTAAAAAACATTTTTCGGAGAAGGGGCTTCACCAGGTTGCCTTAGAACTGCTGCCCTAGACACACTAATTTCCTCCCCATTTTGTTTTTCTGAGACAGGGTCTCACTTTGCCACCCAGGCGGGAGTGCAGTGGTGCAATCACAGTCACTGCAGCCTCAGCTTCCAGGCTTAAGTGATCCTCCCACCTCAGCCCCTGGAGTAGCTGGACTATAGGCATGTACCACCACCTTCAGATAATTTTAAATTTTTCGTGGTGAAAAGGCGTCTCACTATGTTGCTCAAGCTGGTCTCGAATTCCTGGGCTCAAGTGATCCTCCTGCCTTTGCCTTCCAAAATGCTGGAATTATAGGCATAGGCCACTGGACCTGGCCCTGACACAAATTTTAATGTAAGAGGTTGAGAAAATCTTGAAGGTAACCAAAAATTAACAAACCCCCAAAGTGTTTCTGAAACTTGGGAATACTTACCTGTTGTATACATTATTGACCTGGCTAAACAAATACATGAACGATATATAGGTCCTATTTTCAGAGTTTTGACGATTTCACTTGCCTAAAGCATAATTTATTTTAGTTCAAAGATTATTTTATTTTCATTTTTATTTTGAGACAGGGTCTTGTTCTGTTGTCCAGGTTAGAGTGCAGTGGCATAATCATGGTTCACTGCAGCTTTGACCTCTCAGGCCTAAGCGATCCTCCTACCTCACCTCCTGAGTAGCTGGGACTACAGGCTGGTGCTACCATGCCTGGCTAATTAGAGAAAAACTTTGGTAGAGTCAGAATTTCACTTTGTTGCCCAGGCTGGTCTCAAGCGCCTGGGCTCACGTAATTATCTTGCCTCAGCCCCTGAAAGTGTTGGAATTATAGTCATGAGCCACTGTGCCTTACCCAAAGATAATTTTAAAAGCATAATTTAAGTGTGAATTTAATAAAGTTAAAAATTATAATATTCGCTTAAGGAAGAGATTAAAGTAGGACATCTTAATATATGATATTTAAAAACAAACTGTGGAGCCATAATGAACACCTCACTCTAATCCTAAAGCAAGTGATTTGGATTTATAATCTTTTGCTTGTTATACTATGTTTTTTTAAAGAATTCTTTAATCTTGTACTTGTTTATTGAATATATTTTTTACTTCTGCTGTGATCAGTTTATCAATATCCTCAAGAAAACTGGCTTCAGAACAGAAACTCTTTTCTTTATGTTGTTAAATAAAATGTATGAGAGGTCATGGTTTTGGTCTGAGCTCCTGCCTTAGGTCAAAACAGATTGAACCAAAATGGGGTCACTTGTGTTAAGTGCCCTGTAATCAAACTGAAACCTAAACAGGAAAATTCCCCTATAGACTGGTATTTCCTAAAAACAAGAGATTCACAGCAACCATTCAGAAGGGCCCCAGTCAGCCTGAGTCAGCATGATAAGGAAGTCTTCTCTGCTTTAACCCTTTACAGGGAAAGTAACCTAAAGTAACCTGACGTTAACCAATTCAGTTTTTTTGTTTCCCTAGTTCTGTTCAAGCTACCTTAAGCAAACCAACTGGTCTGCCAGGCTGACTGAAGCTCCCTCTATTTTGAATATTAATGATTTATGAATCATTAATAAAAGCCAATTCGATGTTTAAATATCACTTGTTTGATTTTTTTTTTTCTTGAGACAGAGTTGTGCTCTGTAGGCCAGGCTGGAGTGCAGTGGCCCAATCTCAGCTCACTGCAACCTCTGCCTCCCAGGTTCAAGGGATTCTCTTACCTCAGCTTCCTGAATAGCTGGGCTTACAGGCGTGCACCACAAGCCCACATAATTTTTTTTTTTTAGTAGAGATGGGGTTTTGCCATGTTGGCCAGGCTGGTCTGGAACTCTGGCCTCAGGTGATCCACCCACCTGGGTCTCCCAAAGTGCTGGGATGAGGTGTGAGCTACCGTGCCCAGTGAAATTTTTTTTTTTTTAAAAGCAACATTTATCAAGGAAACTAAAGGGGTGCAAACCATTTGGTGAACAGAAATACACTAGTATCAAGGTTTTGACACAGATGATATTTACTATTTTTAATCTTTTCAACAATCCTATGAAAAAGGTGTTACTTCCC